GTTTCCTGTTCTGTCTTCTGTACTGAGCTGGAGAAAGTTATCCTGCCCCTCACAGTATATTCCTATGTCTCTTGCCTGGACCCAGGCTTGAGTAGACTCATAGAATGAAGAAGAGGGTGGTTCCATAGAGTAGTGGTTAGCACATCTGCTTTACATGCAGAAGATCCTGGGCTCAAGCCCCAGTGGAGCCACGGCCCAGGCCCCGCCCCCAGTGCCAGGCCCTGCCTGGGTGTGCTCCACCTTCTCAGAGATCCATCTAGTTCTTAAGGGGAGACGGGCAACATCCGTAGGTCAGGGGTGGAAGTGTGGGGTGGGGTGGGGTGGAGGGGCGGTAAAAAAATAATAAAAAGAAAAGAAAGTTGAAAAATAAATGGTCTAAGCATTCAACTCAAGAAGTTGGAAAAAGCAGAGGAACAAACCCATGAGCCATGAAGAAAATAATGTAAGGAAAGAAATAGAGAATTAAGTGATGATAAAGAATAACACAATGAAAAGCCAGTTCTTTGAAAATATTGATAGACCTCTCCCAGGACATGGATAGCTAAAATAACCTTCTAAAAGAAGTTATGATAGGAACTTGCCCCACTAGATATTATAACATACTAAAAGCCTTAGTAACTAAAGAAAGCCAATATTGGCCTAAGTAGACCAATGGAACAGAAAAAAGCATTCAGGGAAAGCCTTAGAGCTATGGAAGTTATTATGTGACAGAAGTGGTAACATACACAAAAGCAAAAGGATTACTTAGTAGATAGTGATGGGACATCTGGCTCATGATATGGAGAAAAATAAAACTGGATCTATATCTCACACCACATACGAGGATGGACTTTAGATGGATTAAAGACCTAAATATGAGAGCAAAACTATTAACAGAAGAAAATATACATCTTAGTGACCTGAGGAAAGAGAAGGATTTCTTTAAGTGCCCGGATCATAAGTGGGAAAATTGATTATATCAAAATTAAAGATCTCTATTCAACCAAGAATATTACTTAGAGTTAATAACACAAATAAAGTGGAAGAGGGTTATCTGCAGTTTCCAACACCCAAGGGATTTGTAATTAAACTATGTGAGGGGGCCCCTGAAAAGTCAACAAGAGGAGGAATATGGGAATTGGCCTAATAACAATATGGATATGAACAAGCAACTGACACAACTGACATGAGAAAACCCAAAACCAATCACACACATGAAAAGTACTCAAAATCATTATCATTTAAAATGCAAATTAAAATAAAACTAATGAAATATGACTGCCCCAGTTAGACTGAAAAATATTAGAAAGCTGGATAATGCTAAGTGTTGTCAGAGACAGAGGCATGTAGGCAACTTCAAATGTTACCCTACCCATTCTAGATAACAGTCTGGCACTGCTTACAGAAATTAAGAATGTATATTCTCTATTATCCAGCAATTCTTCTCTGAGTATACATCCTAAAGAAATTTTCACACTAGCCCATACGGGTGTTTTTACAAGGTATTATTTATTGAAACAGTGTGTCAGAGGTAACCCAGTATACCTTGTTGGGAGCACCTAGGGGTAAAATGATGCAGTGGACATACACATTGGAGTTTATTGCCACCATTAGAAGCAACAGACAGATTAGATGTACCCATAACAACAGATGAATCTTAATAATGCTGATTAGGGGGGAAAAAAACAGAATGAGAGTACCATTTATTTTAATTAAAAGCATAGACAAAAAATGTAAATTTTATATGAAATCACACAAAAAGATACACATTAAACCTAATGGTTAACTGTGGGAGGAAGAGAATGATAGTTGGGTGCAGGAATAAAAGAGAATAAATAAAATGAAGGGCTTCACGTGGAACAACAATGCCTATGTGCCATGAACTGTGGAATGTGATCAGAGGTCAGACACTTTGAGAGGCAAACAAGTACCTCTTTTTTGCATGGGGCTCAGATTCTCTGAGGATTCTCTAAGACCAGTATGTATGTGGAAATATAGTCTGTTTATGTCCATCTTTGGCATAGGAAGTCTGAACATGGCAAAAGCCAGACAAGTTCATTTTGTAGATACATATGATACTTTACTCCGAAAGTTAACAAATCTAGTCTGTTTTGCGGGCTGACCCTTAGAAAGCTGGATAAGTCCTTTCCATGGATAAGAAATTTAGTTTCTGAGGGCAAATCTAGTCTGTTTGGGGGGCTGACCCTTAGAAGGCTGGATAAGTCCATTCCATGGATAAGAAATTTAGTCTCCATTCTTCCTGGATGAGAAGCTCAGAAATAAAGTCTATCAAATCCATTCACTGCAAATGGTTCAGACACTCTGAAGGCTGGACAAAACCAAATTGTGGGTAGTGGGCTCAAACACACCTTGCTTTGGATAAGTCCACTGTGTATTGTTAAAGTCCTTTCTGTGGCTCAAGGGCTCAACAACCATGACAGCAAAGATCATTGTGTGGATTGGGATTTATTTCCTCTGAAAATTGGAGCATCCTGTTTTGTAGAAGGCATCTCAAGCAGTCTACTTCGGAGAAATCAAAAGACTGGCTTCAGAAGCCTGCGAGATAAGGATGAGGGTTGACGTCAGAAATGAAAAGGAATGACACCAGGGAAAAGGGTCCCATGACAGGCGGCTAGATGTTGGGCACAGAGAAAAAAAAAACAACGTGGAGGTCAGGATCAGACTGAAAAAATGTGGGGTCTGATGTTAAGGACTGTGAAGGATGATGATATTAGGGACAGTGGCGGGGGCGATAAAACATATGGCCCTCGAGGAATATGAGGTTAGAGGACTAGAAGATGAAGGAGGTTATCAAAGGACGGTAACTATGTTGCCAGGGATCTAGAGGAACACGACTGAGATGGTGAGAAAGACGTCGGAACCAAAGGGGGAAATGACATCAGAGAACTGAGAGCTAGGACAGAAAGTGGTGTGAGAACAAAAAGGTTCATGCGCATAAGGGATGAAGACGGCTGGGCCACTGGAAGAATGCTGACGTTAGAGCGCACCGACCGCACAAACCTCGCCTTCATTCCCGGAAGCATGCTGAGTGCTTCGCTCCCTTTGCTCTGCCGTCCCTTCCTCCCACCAATAAGCGCGCACGCACGCCGGCGCGCGCGGGGAACGTTCAGTGACGTGTACGCTACGTACGCCTTATTAAGCGTCTTCCCGCGCGGCATCCTCCTCAGTCGTTCGGCTCCCCGGCAGTAGCTGTGTCTTCGGTCCTTTTACGTCTTAATTTCCAGGTAATTGGCTCCTGTCTAGAAGAGCAGTCGCTCCTCGCCTCACTGGTGTGCGCTGTGCCAGCCTACAGCGAGGCGCATGAGTTGGGATAGTAGCGGTTTCCGACACGTAGGCGTGGGATTCTCCTGGATGGGGGGGGCGTCCTGTATTTGGAGGTCAAACTTTTGCATTGGTGGGAGGCTAGTGCACTATATCCGAGTGCGTTGGAATGCCGGGAAGAGCTCCAGTGTCGGTAGCGTGAGTGACCATGCCATGGCCGAGACCTATGGGCCCTCTGTTCCCCACGTGACCGCCGCCATCTTGTTCTGCGGGCGCAGGGGGAACGCAAGGGTGTTCTGGGCCTGCGCGGCGGCACAAAATGACGGGCGTGGTAGTAGGGGGTGTTGTGAGCATGCGCGAAGACGGCCCCCAAATGGCTACCTCGCTGAGCCGGTCCAGCAGATTTCCATCTTTGAGGCCTGTTTTTTTCGGTCTCTTCTAAGTTATCCTTATTTTGT